GTCTGGATACAGTGCAACAATTAACTTTCATTTTTTGTAAGAAGTATTAATTGCATCATTCAAATTGGATTACTTCTGTTTATGAGGCTAGAATCAGATTATAGGTTTAGATAAGTTCATCTTTTGGGCACTCTGCACCATTAAGACATTTCTGTTAAATGTCACAAATCAGTTTTGGCCTAGGATATGCATATTTTGCTGATGTATAGTATTACAGCTTTGTCTTCTGTCATACTCTGTCACTGAGGTTCCAAATGCCATTTTCAAAATTTCCATTTCAGGGAAACTCATATGTCTTATGGTTGCCAAATTCTGGACTTGGTGTAAAGAATCTATTTTCTGCATGCTTCTTCCTGTGATCAAGGGCAATGTGATCACCACACTTAAGGAAGAAAGAGAATTATTCCGATTTCAAATGGATGGGTAGTATCATAGGGGAAGAGGAAAGAGATGGGGGTTCACAGCATTTTCATCTTTCATAGCCTCTGCAGTCTGCTGGTGCCACTCTCTCTCATGCCTTCTGTACCTTACTGTGCCTTGAGAACTAATATGCTTCAGTTGAATAGTGATATGGAGCTCTATATGGAAGGATGTGGGGAAAATGTAAACTGTGATGGTAATGGCTTCTTGGCCATAAGCTTCATATGTCTTTCTCTAACTCTTCTAAATAGGTTCTTTGTAATATCTTTCCTTTCTCCTGCTGGATTTAGATATATTTTACTCTTCAGCTTTGCTTAATGTGCAGTTTTCCACCCCTCTTCCCACTTTCGCTTTACTATTTCTATTGACTAGAACATGCATGTATTAATACTATTTAGTATTAAAAATGAGGAAAAAAGAATTGAATAAATGCTCGTATTCTGCTTACTTTTTAATACTTGGGCATAAATATGCTCACATAGAAAGAAGAAACTTCTCACTAGGAATGAGAAATGTGTTTCTGTGTGTGTGTTTTCACACAAAGGACGTTGTAGGACACTCCGTAAAGTGCAATGCACAATGCAGTTTGTCTTTGATTAGGTTAAAAAACATAATCTAGAGAAAGTACATTACCAAGTGAAAGATGTGAAGATAAAATAACCCTAGTTTAATTTAGCAGATATCATTTAGGGATGTACTGTTTGCAAGCTGTTTAGCAGCTGCAGATCAGCTTTACCTGTGATTCTCTTTTCACACCATTCGATCAGAAGGATTTAAATCATTCTGTTCATAACAGTAGTGTTGATACTTTTGGTCTGAAGCCTAGACAGATACAGTTATTTTAGTGAAAACCTGAATGCAAAATAGACAATTCTATTTTCATATTTACTTTGCAAGGAGCCTGTAATTAGCACTATTTATAGAGCCCTTCACCATGATCTACGCTTAAGCATGAGCCTGTTCATATACTGCAGCACTTCAGCACAGAAGTGATTTCTGGTGCTGAAATAGAGCTTAGACTGCCTTTTCCATCCTTTGCTGTGGGTCCCACATGCAGATCAGAACTTTCACATCACTACAAGCAATGTCTCATCCTAGTTTCATTTTCATTTTCTTTTTTTTTAAAGGCATATCTAATAAACCTTTCATTGTCTTATAATCAAATGATCATTTCTGAAACAGTTGCCTGCATCAGAGCGTTTCTCAAGATTTCCCTGATTGCTCACAGCTTTTTTAATACGTCCATAAATATGAATGTGGTCATTCACACTGCACATGGCAATATTGAACGACCTCAGCTGGACTTTCCTAAACTTCTCTTTGTGACACAACAGTGCTGTTTCTGTTTTAATAGTGCTTTTTGGAGTGTTGTGTTTTTTTTTTTTTCTTTTAGAGGTGTATGCAACATGTATGCATGTCAGGTGTTGCCGGCACGACTATCACATCTGCCCGTTTAGGACAGATGGCAGATGCTTTAACAAAGACTATAGGATGCCACTGAATGATCAGCTTTTCTCATAAGTAACGCTATAACTGTCAAATGTATATTGTACAAGACTTCAGTTTCACAAAACTTAATTACAAAGGTCTGAATTTTGGTGTGATATTAGCAGAACAGTTATTGCTATTACTTGGTGTCTTATGGATTTCACAAATCATTTGTTAATGAAACTAGGAGACTTAGTTTTTATCTTTGCTGAAAGTGTTAATATAATTTAAGAACCAAGCTATATATGGCCATAGTAGTTATTATCTTAGTGTAAGATTATGTTATTACATTAGAAGATTATATTTATTCTTTTATGTATCCACCACCTCTGCACTACGTTTTGAAAGTAACAAAAATAAATTCCTTTTATGGCATGTTTAACAAAGTGTACAGGTAAGTGAGAATGTTACTGTAGACTCATCCAGGTCAGTCAGCCAGGTGATTACTGTATGCTTCAGTTTCAAAGTGATGGAGACAAGCAGTAATATATGTATGATATAGTCGGGATAAAAATAATAGTTTGATATGATAGCCTATACATTTTTAAGAGAAGAATTCCATCCACGTCATTATCTCCAGATTGCACAGCATATCTGTGGCAGCGTGCAATTCAGGTGCAAGGGATGCTGAGTTTTACAAGGAAGACGTTGTAAATCTAGGTGACTCTGTGATATATTCTGTTCCAATTCATTGCTCTTACAAAGTCAAGAAAAGAAAAACATGGAAACACATCTAACTTGGAGTCTTGTACTGGGATGATACTTTACCAGTTACAGGAGTCACCCATCATATTGTTTTTGAGGCCACCAGCTTTATAGGCATCTGCTGTATTTGCAACTGATAAAATGTAACCTTTGCGAACAACGTTAAACGAAAGGTGAGAATACCCACAATGCCTTTTGCCATTTTTGGGAGATACAAAAAAATATTCCCCTAAGCTGAAAGACTGATGCTTGGTTTGGCCCCTGACACAGTTGGTAGGATTGGACTAGAGATCCCCAAATCTACCCTAGCAGCGAACACTAGCAAAATTTCTCTCCTTCTATTTGGGCGTGAGCAATTAATTACCAGCGATCTGACAGGGGAATAAATGGTGCAGACTCTGTTTCTCAGCTGTGAAGTGAGATAGTCTAAAGTTTCTGTTCTGTGAGGAATGGAAAGGAAGGCAGCAGAGCTTCTGGCTCAGATGTGCCCTGTTGGCCATGAGAGAGGAAGGGAAGGAGCTGCTCCCACTGGCATGAGGGTACTCAGAATATTGCTCTGCTGGCTCCTGGCCGATGGGCATTCATGTGTGCTGATGAGCACTCGGAATAGCTCTTCCCAGGAGTTATCAGTCTCTGACTCTTTATCCTCACATGTAGCATCAAAGCTTTCAGTTGTGGAACTAGGCTATGTGATGAACGCTTCCATGACTTGCAGACCAACAGTTTAGCACAGAGTTTTAAGTCCATAACAGGGTAGTAGCATGTGAAGCAGGTACAAATATATGTCAAAAAGTTAATAGAAAATGCTAATGCAAACACTAGAATATCCTCAAACCATGTAGATTGTTCTTAAGCCTTGAAATGAGGTCTACCAACTCTTCTCAAGACTGCAAAGTAGCATTCCTGTTTGATGTGAGGCAACTTCTGGTATTTCATAATCAGAGGCAAAAAATGCATGCAGCAGTGTCTGAGTATATGGAAACTTCTTCAGTTTTTCTGACTAGTAGACAATTTTAATTAAATATTCTTCATTAAAAGAAAAAAATATTTTCCTTGACTGATAATTTGTGACCATTGCCATAGGATCTGAATTCAGTTTTTTCCCAGTCAGCCATTTTACAGATAAACGAGTACCAGTAAGAAGCTGATCTCCAAAGTAGCACTCAGTATCCTTCACGGAGAAATGCCAAAAGGGAGGTTTAGAAGTAATATCATTATTTAAAAAAAAAAAATAAATCATTTTCTTACTGTATATTTCTGTATATTTTTACTACTTTTTTGGGTCTGATGGCAGTTCTTTTAGTTTACATATTTGCTCACAAATGCACTTTCTAATTCCTGAATCAAGACTGACGAGATGTACTTCTCACTGGAGCATTAATTTATTAACCCAAAAGCATTTTGAAAGGCAACTTTAGAGGAAACGTGAGTAGAAACATTGTGAAGGAGCAGATAACTCCTCTTCTTGACATTATCACGTAATTCAAGCTGCAGTTGTCAATCCTAATGAAGGTGGTGATGCTGATTTGAGCATATTGTTTATATGATAAGCAAGAGCTTTGGGAGATATGGAGTCCCTGCTGCTATCATTTATAATTAAAGTGTCCATCACTTTTCTCTGAAAAACTGCTTGGCAAATAAATAATTAAAGGCCTGATTCTGATATATGTAGTTGAAATGAGAGAGAGACTTCTGAGAACAGTCCAAATGCAGTAAATAGAATTTCTTCAAAATAAGGTTTCAAGATAAATAATAGTGTTGCAATCTCAGTCAAAGCCAGTTCATGTTTGTTAAGGCAGGAGGTTGTTCTGGCTTATGTGCTTTAAAACCTAATTCCACAGACATCTCAGACTGTTCACTTACATACAATGCCTGATGTTGTCTATCATGTCTAAACACGTTATCTTTTAAGTACAGTAGAAACTAGTCTTAAAATTAATGACTATGTATGTGTTCCATGCTTGTTCAAACAGCCAAAGATAAAGAAGTTGTTAATCTGATGGCTTGTACAGTGCAGAAGCTTTATAAAGCTTTGTGTTACCTAATGAGTTTATTTCATTACAAATATGTTTATTTTGTAGAGGATTTGTCTTTGATTGTTGCACTGAATTGATGTTTAAAAGAAGAGTTATGCTTAAATGGTGTTTCTTTTCATAGTTTCTAAAACAATCGAAAAAGGTTGAGGGGAATTTTTTTTAAATACAAATGATTTTACGTGCTTTCATTGTGTTTCAGTAATAACCTTGCTTTCATAAGAGCTGAAATAACTTGTACATATAAAAGTTTCTTGCAGCGTTGGCAGGGAGAATTTCAGTTGATTTTACTACCTTGAAATTAACCTTTTACTATCGCATGCATATGTTTGTCATTTATCCCCTTTTTCTCAGGTGCAAAGAGGGCTACCAAGGAGTCCGCTGTGACCAATTTTTGCCGAAAACTGACTCAATCTTGTCCGATCCAAGTACGTCAAAGGTTTTCTTATTTTTTTAATCCATGCTGGAGGCTACTCTTGCCATGCGAGATGACCCTTTGCCTATTGTCAGAAAGCATATTATGGACCACTGCAATTGCGTGTAGAGAACGGTGTTGCTTTTCTTAGTAGAATAAAAACATATGCTCCAGTCTCTGTTCTTATAAAATATGTTCTGCTGCAGCAGGGCAGGCCATCAGAGGACTTGATTCCTTATGATTTGGAATATTGCTGTCCCTGCTTAAAGCCAAAATGTTTACATTTCTCTACTTTTGACCCGAGAACAAATCAAATTATGTAATTTAAAAGGAAACCAAGTATAGACTTCAAAGTGGTTCCTTCAAAAGAAAATAAATTCGTATTGTCTGGAACTGCAGAGATTATAATCTCCTTGGAAATATGTGATGTCAGTTTACACAAAACCCAAATTTTTTTCACTTTTATAGGTAAAGTTGCTCTGTATTTGCAGAGTAAACCTGTACTTTCAGGTAGTAATGTGGAGACGGAATAACTTTCTATTACACTGCTCAGTATATGTCAGAATGCAGTCCTCCTACTCCACCGTTGCCCTTTTTAAATTCTGTTGACTAACAAAACTATGTCAAAAGTATTAGCCAAGATGAATATTTTGGAAGTGAATCCATTTACTAGTTAATGTTGTGCATCTTAAATTTTTTAATTAAGTGACATACAGCAAAGGGTCATATCCAGTCTCTTTTTTTCCTTCGTATACCTGAAAACTGTAATGCATTAAGTCTTCTGGTTTTGAGTGCTCTTTAAAACTTGGTTTGGGTTGTTTTGTGTTTTTTGAAGAGTAATGCTTGTTCTTCTAGTCTTTTTTTGTGCTTTCTGTTTGTTTATTTTCTTGTGCTTTTCCATGTGAAAGCTTGTTGCCAAAGACACCTGTTGTTTTGTAGTTCTGTATGTTGTATAGCTCCCATAGTAATTTGCTTTGTATTCGGTTTAGCTTTTCCTTTTGCTTGACCTTTAACAGTAAAGTGCAGATCCTATAATGAATAGGCAGATTTTGCCTCTGCCAAGTTGTATGTGTGCTTGTAAACATAAGAGTTGTGTATGCATCAAGAAAAAAGGTACTTTGCCCCCTTGAAGTGGGGGAAAGGAAAGATCATTTTAAGAACAGGACAGAGTGGTACCTGTCTGATTTGGTTTTAACAGGGGACTTTAGCTTTGCTCTCTCAAGAGTAGAGGTGAAATTCATATAGATACAATACAAATCCCAGAAGAGACTCCCAGATTAAGCTTCATCTAACAAGACCAAAAGCCCTACAGTGTTTATATACTGCAGATACTATTGTTGTTTCCTTGCAGCGTTGTGTTGGTTGCATAGACTTGTTTTTCTTTACTTGGGAGATCCTCATTTACCCTCACTGGTTTCTCACCACATTGTTTCTGTAAAATTGTTCAGCCACCTGATCCTGCTCAGTGAGCTAAGGTTCTGCTGAAATGTCCTTTTTACCCCTTCTGACTACAAAGGCGATTTTACTTTATTTCATTGAGACTTGCTTTCGAAACTATATTTAGCGTATGTAAGAGCAGGAAACCTTGGCTTGATGTTGACGTACATATCTATGTTGACTGGACATGCTTGTACCCCAGGAAGGGCCCCTCTTCCAATATAAATAAAGAAGGTTAATGTAAGTTAGGTACTTTTCCCAGTCAGTTCTGAAGTTTATTTTATATTTAATCCTCATCTATATTCAAAAGAGGAAAAGCTTCTGTTCAGGTATATTTCTGTGTGTTGGCATACTGTGATATATCTCTGTGTACGTACATGCATATGCACTTGTTCTAAGCATGCCCAGCCTGAAAGAGAGATTATGGAAACTTTCTGCTGCAACTGGACAGTAACAACATGAACATTTTGTTCAAGAGTTAAATCAGTAATGTATTTATCTTCCCTCTGGAGAGGAAAAAATTAATATCATGCTGATAACTAGCACTCAGTGGCAGAAATATTTGCTGTTTACATAACCTGGGGAGTGTAAAAAGCGTTTGACTTTGTAGTCAAGTGCAGTACGATCATCTCCAAAGGCTCTGGTGTTGCTTTGCAAAAACTTAGTTTTGCGCTTGAATGTGTGTTTGAATTACAAAGAGAACCACTGAAGGACACTAAAGGGTGAATTTGGAAGTGGCTTCAGAAAGAAGCAATTTTTTTTTAATGCAAGGCTTAATTTCCAAGAGTTGAACTCTGAAATGAGTGCTCTTGTATCTGGACTGCACATAGCCAACACTGACTGCTATCAGTCAAGCTTTATAAACAAGTCCAGCTCATTTGAGTTTTGTGGTATTGCTTAGGGTTTTCAGTAGTAAATGTGTACAGAACTGCTAATGATGCATCTGATAATAATGTTTAGCTTATTTGAAGTTTGCACACCTGAAATACTGAAGCAATATGGTTTTAGTCTTATCTTGCCTGTGACAGAGCAGGTTACATTTTCAGATCACTCACTTGTCATTAAATGGGAAGTGAATCTTGACCACAATCACTTGGAAAATAGCAACAATATTATCTTAAAATTGTTAGTTATTTACATGTTCAAGAGTTTTGTTGTGTTTTTTTTTTTTTAAATAGGCCTCTAAACCAAACTAAGCTTGTTCAGCATGGCTATTATCTGAGGTTCCATAGTGACAAATGATGTTATATGGCTCTGCAATGTTTTTAACAGTATCGGGCCAAACCCAGCTTCTTCTCATTTTAGGTGTTATGTTAGGTAGGTCTTGACTTTACGTCACAAATATGAATACAAGCTATGTAACGCTTAATATGTATTAATGCAGTCAAAATCATTTACATATATAATTAAACTGAACAGTTAAGATATTTAAAATTCTGGTTTCGAGAAACTTCTTGAAAGTATCTCATGGTACTTCAGAGTTCCTGAATTTGTATATATGGCTTCTTGCAGTCAGATCTGCCATCTGCTACCTTCCTTCAGCTCAAAGTTAGTATCAAATTCATAAGAAAACAGATGTAAGAGACACATAGAGCAATGTCAAAACACCCCAAACACAGACCCTTCTACAGGACCTTCAAGCATTACAGATATTAACAGCTTCCACTTCCCTTAACTTCTCCACTCTTAACCAGGTTTTCTGGCTATAAGGGAAGGATGTTAAAAAAAAAACAAAACAAACAAACAAAAAAAAACACAAAACAAAACAACAAAAAACCCCAACCCAAACACAAATAGTTTGAGAAGAAGTTTGTTAATCTATGAATATGAGAGAAACCTGCATAAACCATGGGAGCCACAAGGAACATAACAAAATTAATGACATCACCAATAAGGGAAAAGGCTGCATGCTGCATGGCAAGGCAACCCATGCTCATAGTCTCTATCAGGAGGAGGCAATCTGTCAGCTCTGGTGATACTGGGCAGGAAAAGTCCCTGAACTCTCTCAGTCATCATCTCCATCTATGGAGGAAGTCCTAATGGGACAATGAGACAAGAAATAGCAGTCGTGTGCTGGAAGGAAAGGACAGGAGTATATTTGAAACATTGCTTCAGCTTTCTCCCTCTGAGCTAGCTTCTCTATAAATACAGTTCATGGCAATGGTAGAGCACTTACATTTTCCATATTATAAATACAACTTTAATAAAACTTTATGTAAAAGTCATTTTTCAGGCACGTGTAGTCCCACGTGTATCTATAGAATTGGGAACTTATGTATGACATAAATTGTACAAATGTACTCATGTACTATCCTTTATAGTGTTCTGGAGTAGACCTGCCTGGCCCAACGAGTCTTGAAAGGTAAGTTGTATGTAGGCTGCTGATATTTCTTTTGATCAGTTTTTATACTGAGGCAAAGTATAACCTTTAAATCTTTGACTGTTCTGTGCAGATATTCCAAAGTGGTGAACAAGGCATTGAGAATGAGTTTGTTGCATTACCCTTTTTTTTTACCAAATTATGCTGAATTCTGCCTTCAACTATTTTGTTCTTAACTTAGCATGGAAAGCTACTTTCCTATGCAAAAGGTGTATTTCAGTTTTATGATATACAATATTAATTTTACCTTTGTCACATTAACATTCAAGTTGTCCCATTTGACCTTAGAAGCTTAAGTCAAGAGGGATCAGCTATCAAATACTGGGAATGTTATGTGATTCTTTTTCAAAATAAACACATTATTTTCTAAAAGAAGAAAAATAGGATGGAAAGCTTATAGGTCATTAGGCCATGCTCCTGCTGTTGCAGTCAACCCCATCATGTAATTCCTTCCTTAAGCTGATCATACTTCATTTGTAAACCACTTAAAATCAGCCTGAGCTAGCCACTAGAAACAGGTTTTATCATCCCTGCTCTGAGGGTTTCAAGACTTTTCAGATTCTGCTCAAAGTTTGTGCACAGCACAAGTTTGTCAATTATGTTCTTTGCTAAAATGCGCACCTTGTTACTATGTTAATTTTTTTTTTCCTATCAATTTCTTCCGTGTTACACTTTGGGTCTGTTAAACTGGGTTTTTCAAATGTCAGAAGTCTTGTTCCTGTAGAGCTGTCTATAGCCTATGGTTACATAATACTTTAACCTGTGACCACATGGTACACATCATGTTTCTTTTTTGAATCTTATCTCAAAGGGAAACCTGCAGGTGTCATGTCTGGAATTTGCAGTTACTCAGATTACGTCTTTATGAAGCAAAGGATCAAAGCCCCTCTCCTGGAAGACTGGGACTATAATAAGTAAACCAAATCCAGATAGTTTAAAAAGAAAAAAAATATTTGTCAGAAATGTATTCAAAGCCTCAAGAGCCACACTCATCTCCTCAAAAAAGCCTGATCGCCCCCTCCCCCCCCCCAAAAAAAAAAAAAAAAATCTCAGGCTTTTTGCCTGTTTTTTTTTCCTTTTTTTTTCATTTTATTTTCTTCCCCAGCCCCTGTCTATCTTTGCATTTGTAAGATCATAGGATAATTTAGGTTGAAAGAGAAGTCTGGACTTCTCTGGAAAACCTAGGAGGTTCAGCC